TTAACAGTCAAACAATAGTACAAAGTACAGGGGCATGGCGGAAGCCAAAACAGTAAATAGACAATGTCCAATGAGCTGTGACCGTCTGTATGCAAAAAGATTTTTCATTCAAATGCACATTCGTAACAAAACAGTCTATACAACATTTACAGAAATTCAGGACATGGACTTAATCCCTATTAGAACAGTACAATACAAAAGCATTCAGTCTAAACAGTAGTTACATAATAGATACAAAAAGGGGGAAACTAAAATGCTCCAAAAGCCCTGGCTTGACAGGCTCGGAACCTCGCAGTGAGGCACAGTGGTTGGCTTTGACAAAAGGGAGTCTAACCCACGCTCCTAGCTCCGATCTGGTGCCTGTACACCTACATATATATATGAGCAGTGTGCTAAAGCCCAGTGAATAACATAATGCGTAAAGAGGTTAAGAATGAATGTCCTTTCAGCATTGAAAACAGTCAATTGATTCAGTATATCAGTTATTCAGTCATATGTGGTACATCCAATAGCAGAACAGTACAGTAAACAGTAGGTCTTGAAAGACTGAGCAGTCAATGATGGCCATCAGTAATGGTTCCAAACATGGGAACCGACAGAGATTTCTGTAACAGTAGCAGTAATAGTAATAATAGTTGCTATGGATGCCACAATACAGTTCAGAATAGAGGACATACATCCATTCAGTTAACAGTATCAATTCAGAAACAGTATAGTTTAACCATTCAGAAGATATTCATATTTGAACATATCTTTACACAGTTGTTACTCACAGAGTTCGGTGCTACAGTTAAGCTAGAGCGCGTCCTCAGATGCCAACCCTACACAGTTTACAGGATGAACACACACTAAGTTCACATTCGGGAATCAAAGACTTAGTCCCTACTTAGACTCGGTGTGGTTCTACATCTATATCCTCATTAAGATGCCTTAAACTAGGCCTAAGAATGCCTAGGATAAAATGAGGATGCAAAGATGCACTTTAAAAGCATTTTCAGAATTTTCATAAAACAAGGGTCCCGCTCGAGCGTCGGTTACTCTGCTCGAGCGGACATGCAGACAAAGGTTTCAGCTCGAGCGTAGACTTACTCGCTCGAGCGTACTGCAAAACAGTCAAAAGTGCTGGATGTGTGAAAATCACGCTCGATTAGGCGCTCGACACCCGCTCGAGCGTAAGACACAAGGTCCCGCTCGAGCGGACTTCAAAACAGTGTAAAGTATTGGGAGCACGAATTTCACGCTCGAGCGCTAGTCACCCCGCTCGAGCGTGAGTTCAAAATCTGGAATTCCCAGATTTGAGCCTCAAGCTCAAATTCAACTTCAAATGTATCAAATTCGATTCCTTTGGGCCCATTTCCTGGAAGACACTTGTAAATACATAGTATGGCACGATTTAAAGCTCAATTTGTAAAATCAAGGCCCAAAGGTGAGGGAATTAAACCCAATTTCAAACAACATTTCAAGAACATGATGAATATGTAACATACATGAATTCAACAACTTCAAAGCTTCAAATGCTAGCTCAATTGAGCCAATTCTTCTAAAATCATGGTGAATTCATGGTCCATTTGCAAAAACATGAACATGCATGTGAATTTCATGAACAATAGCTTCAAAACCCAAGAATGGAAACATGCATGCATGATACATGCTACAATTCAACATTATAAGGCTCAATCTAGGCTTAGATTACTAAGGACACAAGAACCATGCATGAATCAATTCAAAAACAAGTTTAAGAAGGTGGATGTTCTACCTTAAGTCTTGAATTAAAGGTCTAGTAGCTCAATTTTGCAATACTCGCTTCGATTCCTTCAATTTCCAAACAAAACAAGATGAAAACCAACTCTCTTAGTTCTCTCTCTCTCTATGGTCGGTTGTGCTTAGAAATTAGCTGATGAAATGTGTATGAATGAGTGTAATAAGGCTCAAATATGGTCTAAGGTAGTGGCCCACTCACAATGGCATTTTGGTAGATAAAACCAACTTATGTGTTTTACATTATCTAATCTAATTTAATCACACTAAATCACATTTTGGATCAACATGCCATAAATTCACATAAATTCTAATGATCATAAAACACTAATCGATTTCGGGTTCGGACGCCGATAAGGCCTTCAATTTGCAGTTTAAAGCATAAATCATGGACAGATAATTTAACAGTCAAACAGATAGAAATGCATTCAAACTAGCACAATCAATCAATCAGTTCAGTTTTTCAGTCGGTTCAATTACTTATCATGATCAGTCTCAATTTAATAGTGAACAGTGGTTTATCAATAATCAGTTGTGAGGGTTATTACAGGTCGTGACAGATATGCCATAGTTTGTCTTTATGTAGATGACATACTTATCATTGGAAGCAGTCAAAACATGATTAAATCAACTAAGCAAATGCTTAACAAAAGATTTGATATGAAGGATATGGGGGTCACATATGTTATATTAGGAATGAAAATTACTAAAACATCTGACGGATATGCATTATCTCAATCTCATTATATTGAGAAAATTCTTGATAAATTTATCAAGGATAATTTATCTAAGATTCACCCGTGATCATGGTTTGAACTTTACTCGATATTCAGCAGTACTCGAAGGTTATTGTGATGCAAATTGGATATCGGATATTAAAGATTCAAAATCCACAAGTGGATATGTCTTTACTTTGGGAGGCGCTGCTGTTTCTTGGAAATCCATGAAACAAACATGCATTGCACGATCCACAATGGAATCCAAGTTCATTGCTTTAAACAATGCAGGGGAAGAAGTAGAATGGCTTTGTCACTTCTTAGAAGACATTCTAATGTTGCCTAAACCTGTGCCAGCTATTTGCATTCATTATGATAGTCAATCTGCAATAGGCAGGGCACAGAATCATATGTATAATGGTAAGTCATAACACATTCGTTGTCGACATAATACCGTTAGGCAATTGCTCTCAAATGGAATAATCTCGATAGATTATATAAAATCTAAAGAGAATATTGCGGATCCGTTAACAAAAGGTTTGACAAAAGAGCAAGTGTATAGTTCATCGAAGGGGATGAGATTAAAGCTTATTACATAAGAGTCATCATAATGGTAACCCTACTTATATGACTGGAGATCCCAAGAACTAAGTTCAAAGGGACACCTAAGTTATGTGTGGCTCGTTAGAAATCACCAAGGGATTAAAATTCCCTATCCATTCCTATGGTGAGAGTAATATCTGTAACATGTATTGTTTGCAGGGGTATAAGGATAAACTTTACTTTTAATGATTATTTATATCTTGATTTAGGCATAAAATCAAGACGAGTATAAGGAGATACTCACAATAAGAATCACATATATGAGTGTTGAACTGGGGCCGGTTCTATGAGAATGAAGAGGCTAAATTCTCTAGAAGCACTCATGAAAACTAGGAGCGTTCAAGGCCAAAATGAACACAACAGTGAGAACCACGATGTGTTAGAAGATATTTTGTGTGAAGTTTATTGTCTTGGCTTACACAAACAGATGAACAATTCAAGGCATCGCGTTCATTGATTAGCTAGTAAGTCCGATAGGTTATCACTAAGGAAGGTTTAAGGCCGAAAGCTACATATCCTGATGCAAGATATTTTCAACTTATACTCTTTCGACAAAGTCTGCATATTATTGCATTTCCGTTGTCATCAAATTCCATTCATGTGGGGGATTGTTAGAAATGGTTTGAAAATTCTGGGTAAAAACAGAATTTTTATTAAACTTTGGTCTAATATTTAGGAGGGACCCGTGCGTCAATTTTCGCGGGTCAAAGTGATAATGCATTCTATGCTGCGTTGTGATTTACGTTGTATATTTGGTTGCTCAAAACCATTATCGAGTGAATGAAAAATTGAAGCCAAAGTGTGCTCCATAAAAATGGAGTTTTGGTGAAAAATCCTTAAAGGTTGAAAAATGGCTTGTCCCACATTGATTTGGTGGGAAGTTTTGAATGAGTTTATAAGGCATGAGATTGGAACATGGGGTGTGTCCCAAGGAGTACCCAAGTTTTGTAGAGAGGGAGGTTATGGGCTAGACCCACTGGACCCAAAAATCACCACACACGCGCGTGCCGCTGCCGCCGTCCGTCCGTCCGTCCGGTCGGGCGGGCTTGGCTTGGGCTTGGGCTTGGACACGGGTGCGTGATGTGAGGTTGGGTTGGGCTTGTCCGGCCCAATACTAATTTTTTTTGACCAAAAACATTGGAGTTTATTTTATTTATTTTGAAATAAAATTATGTTCGTTTTTATTTCAAAATTATGGTTTGAAATTAAATTCAAATTTTGTAATGCACCTCTCTACATAATTCTGTCCAAACTGAATCTGTTCCACCCGAATAGATTTCAAATCTGTTTAATTTTCAAATTCAAATAAATTCGGTTATCTGTCCAATTCAAAACCCAACAGGTTCAGTACCAGTTCAAACAGGTTTGCACCTGTTTAATTCAAAGCCAGCAGCCATCAATCCATCTATAAATAGGTAGCCCTTATTTGATGTTTCATTCAAGAATTTCGTCCAAATAATTATGCTATTATTCTCTTCATATTGCTGCATTAGTTTTTTGTGAGAAATTGGGTAAACACTTTGTGTGTTCGTTGTACGAATAAATTGTAGTGCTGCATTTATTCGTTGTTGATAATTTCATCCTGGGAGATAGGCGTCCACATTCTGAAACCACCGTGGAGAGGAGGAATCTGTCTTAAGGACATAGTGTCTAACACTGAACTTGATCAGATTATTATTCAGAAAAATTAATCAAGTAAGTTAATACTTTTCCTGTTTTATTTTTATTTATTTAAATCAGATTTTTTGATTTTGTTTTTGTAACAAAATAAAAATCTGTTTTTATTTATTTATTTATTTTATTTGTTGGTTTGATTTTTGTAATCAAACATTCTCTCTCCTTTCTTATTTTCCTTTTGTATTCTGTTTGTCGTTTAATGCCCAATCAAAATTAATTTATTTAAGTATAGTAAAAATTATCCAATAATCTTAAGACAGAATAATTTTTACATCTTTATTATATTTAATTTTTTGAACCACTAATTACAGCGTAGCATAACATCCCCAACCACACCATTTTCAATTTTTCCCATTTCACCTTCTTATTACCATCGTCGAGTTCAATAATCACATCTTTTAAGAAAAAATCCATCGCATCTTTGTGTCCTTGTTCTTCTGCAGCTTCTTCACGAGAAAGATCTATTGTCATAAACAAATTTCTGTCATATCTGAGGGAGACAATTCGCGTCCTTTACGTTCTTGTCTTTTTATTTCTCTACATATAAGAGTCTTAAAAATTAAGGTTGTGTTTCGTAAAATTTTATAAATATGATATAAAAATATGAGTTGTATTTTAAGTTTATGAGTTGTGAAATTATGATTTGAGTGTAGAAAATTTGTTTAGTTATAATTTTTGAATAGAGTGTTAAATTGAGTTTTGAATTGAGTGTGAAATTGAGTTTTGAAAGTTTGATTTGACATGTGAAGTAAAAAAATTTGTTTAATTATGAGTTTTGGAGAGAGTTTTCAAAACTTAATTCAAATTATTATAAGTCATAACAAAACACACTACTTTCACACTATTAAAAATTCTGATTAACACTCATAACCAAACTCATTTTAAAATTCAATTAAAAAAATTATGATTAATAGAAAATAACATTAATCAATTTTTTAATTGAAAATACTACAAAGGAAATAATTTTTTTTCAAAATAAATTTTCAAAAAATTTAAATCATAAATATTTAAATAATTTAAATAATCTAAAAAATTTAATAAGTAAAAAATTAAAATAAATATTCAAAAAATTTAAATCGTAAAAATTTAAATAATTTAAATATTCAACTTTACGCTCAAATCATAACCAAACACATAAAACAAAACTCAATTAAGAAATTATTTTTAAAACTCATAACCAAACACACAACTCGAAACTCCATACTACTTTCACAACTCTACACTCAAATCGTAACCAAATACATAACAAAAAAATTAAAATATTTTAAAATTTAAAAAATTAAAATCGCAGTATTTTGAAATTAAAATATTTAAAAATATTCAAAAAATTTAAAAATTTAAAACATCGTAACATATTTAAATATTAAAATATTTAAAATATTGAATTGAATTGAATTTTGAATTATATGTTTGGTTATGAGTTTCGAAAAGTAATGATTATGTTTTGAATTGAGTTTTGAGAAATGGGTATAGAATTATGATTTAAAAGCTCTAAATAAACAGCACACTCAAATCAATGGGTAGAACTATATTTTCAGATGCTTTCCAAACAGAGTCTAAATTTTTTTTATTTTTAAACGTATAAATTTTGTTACAAAAAATATTTAGAGACTAATTTCAATTGTAGCGAAGACAATTGTAAAAAGTCATCCCGAAAAGTAAAAAATGAGTTTTTAAGAACAAAATTTTAAAAATATCACTTTTAGGGACAAAATAATTTGTTCTCAAAGATTTATTTTTTGAGACAACTTTTGGTTTCAAAAGGCTAATAATTCATCACTAAATGTCTAATTTTATCATTAAAAATAAAATAATAACACTTTTTGTAATAAAAATATTTTATTCCCAAAAAAGTAATATTGTTCCTAATTTTTTTTGGTCTCAAATCATAATTCCTTGTAGTGATAACATCCGTAATATACCTGAAACAAAAACTGCAATATACCTTAAACAAGGACCGGCCACTTCGCTTCCATGGAGTAGTGCTGCTTGTGCCACTTCGCTTCCATGGCGATAAGCCGGAAGAGTCCTACCAACAGAGACACCGTACACATGAAGCTGATAGAGCAAAAAATGCACCCTCTCTTGGTAAATGTTATGGATGCTTTTGTGTATAACAAATCGTACATGAGCCCCATTTCAACCTCCAATATATCCCCAACATATGTACCATCATCCGGATTCATTGCATTTAGAAAATTTTTATTTCCTTTTGAATGCGATTCCATGAATGCATATCTACCAATGTCATAATTCTCTATATAATCTTTAAATTCCGCCATCAGCAAGCAGGCCATACATAAAACTTCTTCATCTCTCTCCTCTTGTTTGATAGGGCGAGCAAGATTCCATCCGCATAGCTCATAATGAAAGGGTACAATGTTTCCTGATTCATCATGGCATGCTAACTTAAGAGCCCCTATTCTCTCCCCATACTTAATAATTCCAGCCACGAATGCCGAAATTAACATAAATGAAAACCAGAAATGCCTCCAAGACATAACAATGACATAAATTGTCACTGTAGCTTGAACACCCATACCCAAAAATGCCTTATCCACAATTGATTATCTAAGCAGTTATAATATCTGGACCACCAAGATGCAACAAAAACAAGGGTGCCCATAATGCCTGTAACGCATTATTAGGATTAGGAATATTATTTTGGGCATTAGAGAGCTTGCCAAGGGCAACAGTTGCCACCCAATCGGTCATTATGTACGCCAACCAAACAATCACATTAATCCATTTTGATGAAATATTCTTTCTGCGTTTGCCAAAAACGAAAAGAATGATTTGTAAAGTAAGACTAAGTAGAACCAGCATCCGAACATCCTACACATTCCATAGTATCTTCCACGATGTTGGAATCAGATTCATCACACCCTTCTCTTCTTTATCCACATGGAGAGAAAATTAAGTTACTATAAGTAAACATTAGATGGATAAATATGAATTGAACATTGTTATCCAACCTAAAAAATTAGACTCACTTTTTAAATTCAATGATGTGGCACTTAATTAAAATATCTGAAGTAACATTCTCTCTTATATATTCTCTATCATCAACCAATCATCTCACTCACACATCATTGGGTCTAAAAAGTAAGATTGTATATCATTATGACATTATCCATCATGGTAACACATTATAATTGAGAATGAATATTCAAAAATTTCTACAACACAACTCTTTTTTTTCTTTTTCTGTTTTTATTGTGCGCCATATGCAAGTTATAATAATTTATGATGTTGATAGTACTACAAAGTGTCTTAACCAAACCACTTTCAGTCAAAACTAAAGAAATCAAAATGGGTCATAACTAAATACCTTAATGAATTATAATTAACACCACAATGACTTATAGTCAACATCAATATGAGTCATAATCAAACGCCACTTGCATCATAACTAAAGACTTTTTTAATCATAACCAAAATAACAATCACAATTAAAAATAGAAAAAATAAAACACAATAATCTCTAACTTTTGTAGATAAAAAAAAGTAGCAACCATAATAAATCATAACAAAGTCCTAACCAATACCCTAATAGGTAGTAACTAAGTCAAAACCAATATTACAATTGATTATAACCAAACATCACAAAAATCATAACTAGGCATATGATACACTCTAGGGGTATAAATTTGGCCCGGGCCCGGGCCGGCCCACGTTGGGCCAGAAAATTAGGCTCAGGCCCAAGGGGTATTCGAGCCTTGGGTGGGACGGGCCAGTGGGCATGGACCTGGGCTTGGGCTTGGGGGCCTAAACTTTTTTTTTTGTTTTTTTTATTTATATTTTTTCTACCAAAATTTTATTATTTTTTACTAAAAAAGACACTGGGCCTCGAGTGGACCAGATGAGCCGGGCCTTGAGTGGGCCTTAAGTGGGTCGATGGGTCGGGTCATGGGTCGGGCCAGACGGGCCGGGTTCAAAATAATGGCTCAGGCCCAAGCCTAGGGTCTCGGAGTGGGCTTGGGCCCAGACCCAGGCCTAAATGGGTCGAGCCCACCTCGAGGCACGAGCGGAGCTTCAGGCTGCCCTCAGACCGTAGGTCATTTTTGCACTCATAATACACTCCTTTTTTTGAGGTGTGCTTTCATAGAATTTCCCATTAAAGTGAAGAGAAACGTTATAAATTCATAATTTATGTCTCTCAATTTACTCACAAAGGCATAATATGAGATTGGACCCCTTATATGATTGAGTTTGTAACATATCAAAATTGACACATTATCTATCAACTCATTGTGAGACTGAATTTATGAATCTTAATCTTTTTTTTAAAATCAATTAAAGCAACACGTTTTTTTTCTTTCCTATCTAAAAATAATGTGCAACATCTTTCACTGACAACTAATAGTGATTAAAAAGAGAACATGTCATAATTTTTTTATTTTCATCCAAAACACGAATTTGAAAAGATAACACTTGATGTGGATTCAACTAATTAACATAGTTTCATTTAATATTATAACTAGTTGGTGTGTTAATTGATAAATTAATTAATATTTCCAATATTACTGTGAAACACAAAATGCGAAAATAAATTATAATCTAAATACACTTTTTACATATTTTTAAAACTTAAAAAACAAATAGAAGGGTTAGATATTATTGTTTTAAAAAAGAAGAAGATATAATTTTAACAACATATATTTTTAAGCATGACACATGTATATTTGAACGTGACATAAAAATAAGCACTAGACATATTTTTTTAATTTCTTTTTATATGTGCCATGCGAAATTTCTTTTTTGATTAACAAATGCATCTTAATTATTCTGACCGTTAAAAAATTTATAATTCTTTAGATGCCATATCTATTGTTTAGTTTTTAAAAATAAAAATAGATATATTTTGACTTAGATCTAGGTTAGATATGATGCGTAAAACATTGATAAATTTCTTTGTTGATTTTCAATATTGTATCAAGATTTTTAAATTTCAAAAATCTTATATATGGTTAGATGGACCTATATTTCTATGATATTTTTACTTCTTAATAATTTAAAATTTTTAGTTTGTATATTTATTACCATTTTAAAACTTTAATTAAGAAATTATATATTTATTCTTAAAATAACTCTAATATATATCTATTGTATCAATATTAAAGTATATTTATATTTGAAAAACTATATAAGACTAAAGCAGGCTAGTCTATAAACTATATTTTTAGCTTAAAACCAAAAAATTATAAGTTATCATTCCATTTAGAAAATATTTCATAATTATAAATATAAATTCTATCAATTTTCATTTAATGGTTTTCTCAATAAAATTAGGTCATTTGATAATTATAATTTGTAGCTAAAAATTTCATTCATATTTTCCATTTAAATATTTTTAAATTATATATAATTAAAATTTTATTTAGACTTTTCTTTTAAATCTCAAAATATATGTAACATAGATATGGTCAGAGTTTTATTTTTGACTTTCCATTTACAAATTTTTAAATTACGAAAAAAGAAGAAGATAGGCCAATAGTTTTATATCATCTATATTTTATGACACGCATTTTAAAATTTTAAAAATAAAATATTGCAGGCTTGGATATTGTTAAAAGACATAGTTAAAATCATATGCATTTTTAAGCACAACACATTTATTTTTTTATGTGACAATAAGAAAGTTTTTATTGCATAAAATATGCACAGCACACGTATTTTTTGTTAAAAGACATTGTTGATTTTTTGACTAATTTAATAACTTTTTGACTTTTTGATTAAAAAGTTCAGTTGCCAAACGAGGCCTAAGTAAAATGAAAGGGGTATTACATCCCCGTGGAATAATAAAGTTTTTATTACATAAAATATTCACAGCACACGTATTTTTTGTTTTAATTTCTCTTTGATTAACAAATGTGCTATAAATATTTTGATTCCTAAATGTTTTTTAATTCTATAGATGCCACATGAATCGTTTAGTTTCAAAAATAAAAATAGAAAATTTTGAAATAAATATTTTTTAAATTTAAAATTATATATGACTAATTTCATATTTGGAACTTTTTTAAAAGATTTTTAAATTTCAGGCTAAATTTCTTTTTTGACTATCGATATTAAGATTTTTGAATTCCAAAATTATAGATATGGTTAGATGGCCAATATTTCTATGGCATGTGCATTTCTTAAAATTTAATAAATTTAGATTAATACTTTGGAGCTCATAGAACATTTTCAGATGAAAAGTTTATCTTAGGGGGAATTATAGTATAGCGGGATAAAGAAAAAAAAAATTACAAAATTATGTGAGGTGTAAATGATTTTGTGATGGAATACAAGTGAAATATTCTTGTACCCCTCCACATTTATGTAATAAAAACTTTCTTATTCCACTGGGATGTAATACCCCTTTCATTTTACTTAATATGGTACACACTCTTAAAAAGTGCGTACTATATGCACCTTATAATTAAAAAATAAAATGACATAATTTTATACTTTCTGAGTCATAACTTAATATATATATATATATATATATATATGAATTTGAATTTGTGTCAGAAGTATAAGTTATATAAAATATTCCTATGGCAGTTATAACTAAAATAATGTCAGTATAATTAGAAATGCATATGATACACTCTTTTTAAGGATGTGTAGTTATAAATCGATAGATTATTCAATCAGTAAAATAGATAGGAGGGGCCAACTAACACGAGACAATCCTCTGTCAATATTAATTATATAAGTATTTACCTATTGAAAAATCAAATACGAGGTCTGAAACGGGCTCAATAATGCAGGGAACCGCAACAAGAGATCTGCAAGTAACCCCTCAAGTAAAAAATTTCATTTGAAGCAACCATATAAAGTGTTTCTACAATAGTTCGCAAAATATTTGAACCTTGAAAAACATTTCTCATAAACAACATTGTTAAGGAATTATGAATATAGAGATAACAATAATGTAGGACAAATCAAGATTAACTTTAAAGAAGTTAGAATCTCACTTGGTGACTCCTGCAATGATATTAAATTCTTATTGTGGCTAACATGTAAACTAAAAAATAGAAGTTAGAAAATGCCAACTAATTAAAAAGAAAAAATATATACATTCTTAAAAAGAAGAAAAGAAAACCACACTTTCGTACCTCTATTTTGTAGCCTGTGATGATTTTGAAAGCAAGAAGATCAATGATGATATGGTTGGTACTCCATATTACCTCCCAATCCGTATATTTATACAGAAACAAAGTTTGTCAAAGGACAAAAGAAGAGAATAAATTACTTGCTTGCATTTTGTTGTAGGAAAAAAATGAGGAGAGAACAAATTACTTGCTTGCAATCTGATTTAGAGAAAAGGGAGAACAAATTACTTACTTGTTCCTTACATTTATATATTAAAAGAAAGTGTATCAAAGGACAAAGAAGAAAAATGAAAACAA